CGAAATTCAACTTCAAGTAAAATTTAAAATTTTCATGGCCAAACACTAATTCCGAAAAAGATGAATTTTTTTCGAAAAAAGTAAAAAATTTCTTATGGCCCAACGGGCACTAAATTTGTCGCTATTATTTTAATATTTTCTTGTACTTTCAATCAAAAAATATACTCATTCCATCCTAAAATACTTTTCATTTTCACTTATCAATATTTACATTTTTGACCGATATTCAACATGTACTTTTTTACTGTATAATATAATAAGAATTGCAAATTATAGTACCTGTTTTCAAATATTTAAATTTTTATTTTGATTTTAAAACATGAAATTAATCTAATAGCTTTAAAATTATTTCAAATTGACTCTTGAAAAATAAAATGTGACAAATATTTTAGGACGGATGAGAATATAAGTATAAATTACAACTTATTTTTATTTAACTAGTTGAATTGTTGCTCCTTCAAAATAAATAAAAAAACATTACACTACGTTTTACTAAAGATTCGGGTAAAGAAATCTCATTATTATCTCTCATTTAATGCAAAGCCGATTTGACTGTTGCTTTTCTTGTCATAAATAAATTTTGGGTCAGCTAAAATATTCCCCTTGCTTGCATTTTGTAGGGGATTTGTCCGTTAAAAAAGAAAGTGTAATTAAAACTAGCTAGAGGAAAAAAAATGTTAAAGTCTAAATAGGTGAAAAGTATAAATAAAAAGTTGCTATTCTCAAGGACTTAAAAAAAACATCTGGTGATTATCTATAGTAGTATTATTACACATTGTTGGTAATCTTCAAAATTATTAATTTTATGGAGTATTATAAATGTACAATTCGAAGCCATATTTTGAATGATTTTTACGTTAATGACCGTTTGCTGTCAATTTTCATCTGTCAGAAATCCAATAATATTCTAGCAGTGTAATTAAAATAAACTTTGATTAATGGTAGGTCTTTTTGAGTTTCTAAATTAGAAAAAGAAAACAAATAATAAAAACTTAGAATTGCAGTATAACTAAGAAAATTTGAAAAAAATCACAAGGGTTTTTCAAAAAACGCTAAAGATAACGGGGAAAAGCTGAGTAACTTGTTAAGGTTATGAAAGAGAGGTTTAGATATTTCATTTTAGATCCTACCATTAATGATATAATAAATACTTATTCGAGCTTGATGTTTATACAAAACTAATTAAATATATTTAAATTAAATAATTTACTAAACTATAATATGCATTAATTAACAGGGACATAACTAGTCTTCGGCTACGATTTTACCGAACCCTGTAGCTTCCGGTCAAAGTATATATTTATCTTTTAAAGATCTGTTGAATATCATTAAATTATTAATTTAGAATTCATTAAATTAAACAGATTAAAATTTCAAAGAAATAAGCTTTAAATTCTGGCATGTTATCTATTATTTAATTATAATTAAGTGTCAAAACTCTGTATTCACACAAGCCCACTTTGTTAATTTGGTTAAATATTAGGTGCAAGTGAAGGTCTTCTACTTTGGAGTTGGAATTCTGAAAAGTGCGTAAGAATTGTAATGGTCAAAGTTAGTGTCAGCTTTGAGCAAGATCTGCGTACACTCTATTCTCCCCGAACCTTGCTAATAGAATTTTACTGGGTATATTATTGTTGTTGTCGTCTCTTTGAGCAGCGAGTTTGCCGCTGATTGACCTAAAAATTTCTTAAATTGGTGAAAAGGGGGTTGAACACGATTCTGAACCTCTTTATTTTTTCCTATAATGAGAAGTGTAGATTAATGGATTTATGGATTCCTATAACGATTTTAAGTAAATATACATTAAGTAACTGGGTTCACAATCAATTATATATCGATATTTAGTGGATTTTTTAATACATATACAGGGTATATATAAAAACTACTGTATTCACGGGAACCCACATGTAATAAGTTGGATCCGCTCCTGCATATGTGAATCTTTTAACTAAAAGAACGTCTAGCCATGCAGCAAGGTTTGGTCCCGTGACACCGCTTCGTCCAGAAATTTTACTAAATATACATATATTTGATGTGCGAAAATTGAACATCTTATGTAACATAAGTTGACATCAGTTGGTCAATTTGCAACTGTTGGCGCGACGGCTAGGTGCTTCATTCAGCAGTTTAATTACATGAATTGCTTTGTATATAAGATTTCAAAATAGTATTTAATTTTAATATCCAAGAAATTAAGAATTAGTAGCTCCGGAAATTTTCAAGTAACAACAAGTAGAAATAAGTTTTTAAAGATATATAACACACTTGAACTTCCGTATTGATCCTTTGTATAAGTTCTGAGAAAAATTATAACACCGACATAATACACAGGGGCGAAGCTACAGCCTATCAAGGGCGGTCAACTGGTTACCCTTCGTTGAAAAATTATATTGTGTATATAAGTAAAATATTAGGTTTTAGAGGTATATAACATATATTGAACACCTTTTATCGAGAAACTTTTTTCACTTCTTTCAAATTTGAACACCCTAATTAGAGAATTTTTTTGGCTTCACCACTTATAATACAACTATATTGATTCTTAATTCTTGAAAATACATAGTACCATTATCAAGCAAGACCAATAATACAAAGCAAAGTTTCATGCCCATGCCTTAACAACTGATCACTCTTCTTTATGTTTTTTTTCTTTCTAAATTCATTGCAGGACTCAACAATCTTGTTCTAAAATTTAGCTATCGATCTCTCTGCATGATTTTGTCTCTTTATTCAAACTCTTACGTCGAGAAAAGGTGTACTAATTAATAATGAAACCAATGAAATAATTGACATTATGCCCAGAGTAGAATAATTTTAAAGGCAAACAATCTTCAAGAAACCCTAATCAACGTCCTAATTATTCAATTTTTACATTTTTATTCGTGTCGTCATGTTTTTGCCCAAATACTTTGGTGCAAGTACGTTACGTTAAATAAGATGTTACACTTTTTATTAATAAAAAAAACAATTTAAATTGAAGTTACACGCGTGTTAATAATATTTTACCAATTACTGAAAAGTAGTTCGACAAGGTACGTAATAGTATTCCAGTTAATTAGATGCAACTTTTTGCGAACTTTAGTAGTTTTTACGCCGAATGCGATCAATAGAATTTAAAATAGAAACGGAAAATTTGATATATTGCATGGCTTGGTTTGAGGTGGTATTTAGGGGGTATTTAGGGTGGACTTATCAAGAGCAGTTTTACAAGCCATATGAATTGAAACCCAATTTTAGTCTTCCTTTCGTGGAAAATAGGGAAGCCTAAGTACTTGTCAAATTCTACTAATTGGTTTAAAGAAAGGGGTAATTTTTTTTCCAATTAATATTGATGTATAAAGGTTGATATTGTGGTAATACGAGCCATTGTAAGTGTGATGTATCTGGAAAATTTAGCTTTATTAGGGAAATTTTAATTTATAAAGGACCAAAATTCTCAATTTGGGTATGAGGGGTCTAATTCTGTTGATAATGATCTTAATATTAATATTATACGTAGTTGTATTACATAGACTAATCGCCCTTTTGGCCAAGCCGCAAGAAACAACTTATGAGGTGTTTGGCGAAGCTTTTAGAAGGAAAAAGTAGCTTAGCTTCTCTCTAAAAGTACTTTTTTGAGAAACACTTTTGAGAAAAATACATTTAGAATCAGTTTTTAAAAGTTTGGCCAAACACTAATTACTGCTCAAAAGTGCTTTTCAAATTAATTAGCCAAACACAAACTGTTTCTCACCAACACTTTTTTGAAAAGTACTTTTGAGAAAAACATTTTCCAAAATAAGTTGATTTTAGAAGCTTGACCAAACAGGCTATTATTTTGAGAAGTCCTTTTTGTCAAAATTACTTTTCTCAAAAGTAGCAGTTTGTGTTGACTAATTTATTTGAAAAGCACTTCTGAACAGCAATTAGTGTTTGACTAAACTTTTAAAAACTGCTTCTAAGTATATTTTTCTGAAAAGTGTTTTTCAAAAAAGTGCTTCTCGAGAGAAATTACTTTTTTCTGTTTCTCCAAAACTGCTTCTGCTTCTTCTCAAAAGCACATTTTTTTCTTCCAAAAGCTTGGTCAAATAATTCAACTTTGAAAAAAATAACTTTTTTTTAAAACAGTGCTTCTAGAGTTGGAGAAGCTTCGGCCTATCAGGCTATAATAGGCTTGAATCGAGTGATGCTTTCTGGGTTTAGAATTTTTGGGATTAAACACACTGTTATTCTATTAATTTCCTCGGGAATCTTTGCTGCGTCAAAACAGTTATGAATAAGATTTTGAACACTTATTTTCACCCCCCAGCCAATAATTTTTGTAGAAAATAGGGTGGAGTATATTTTGTTTCATTTATTATGTTGTGGTAGCTAATGTCATATAGTTTATCTTTGAGGAGAGATTTGATGGTAAAAAAGAAAGAAATAAATAGCTTAACAAGTAAACTATAAAAATTAAGGGCTTTTTTCATTTTTAGGCTACGAAAGAACCTATTTATATTCGGTAGCCAAAAAAGTATATAAAATTTGCATAATTTTTGTATATAAAATAAAGAATATAT